TCTCTTGCGGGGGGGGGGGGGGGGGGCCGGCCCCCCCCTGCCTGCACAATACGTGGGGCTGTCGGCCTTGTCCTAAACGTGGAGTTGTGGCCGGTCTCAAGTCTGGTGTGACAAAGCCCGCAGGCAAAGCTGGGCTAAGAAAGAAAGTGGTGAGAGTCAGGAAATGTTTTGCACAGCAACACCGGAGAAGCTGGATACGGGAGACCACGTCAAGAACACAGGCCTAGTGGCCTCGTACTGGTACAGGCGACCCCCGACTTATAACTGTCTGACTCACAGGCGACTCCCGATTTACAACTGCCCGACTTACAGGCGACCCCCTGACATAGAACCGCCCAACTCACAGACGACCACCAACTTACCACCACCCAACTCACAGGCAACCCTTGACTTACCACCGCCTGACTCACAGGCAACCCCCGACTTACAACCTCCCGACTTTCAGGTGACCCCCGATTTACAGGGGACCCCGACTTACAACCACCCAACTCACAGGCAACCCCCGACTTACCACCTCCCGACTTTCAGGTGACCCCCGATTTACAGGGGACCCCGACTTACAACCACCCAACTCACAGGCAACCCCCGACTTACCACCTCCCGACTTTCAGGTGACCCCCGATTTACAGGGGACCCCGACTTACAACCACCCAACTCACAGGCAACCCCCGACTTACCACCTCCCGACTTTCAGGTGACCCCCGATTTACAGGGGACCCCGACTTACAACCACCCAACTCACAGGCAACCCCCGACTTACCACCTCCCGACTTTCAGGTGACCCCCAACTTACAGATGACCCCTGTCTTACCACCACCCAACTCACAGGTGAGCCCCTACTTACCACCAGCTGACTTACAGGCAAACCCTAACTTAAAGCTGCCCAACTCACAGGTGACCTCTGACTTACAGGGGACCCCCGACTTACAACCACCCAACTCACAGGCAACCCCTGACTTACCACCTCCCAACTTTCAGGTGACCCCCGACTCACAGGCAACCCCTGACTTACAACCGCTCGACTTACAGGCTACCTCCGACTTACAACCGCCCAACTCATGGGTGACCCCCGACTTACCACCTCCTGATTTACAAGTGACCTCTGAGTTACAACCACCCAATTCACAGGCGACCCCCGACTTACAACTGTCCGACTTACAGGCGACCCCTGACTTATCACCGTCTGATTTACAGGCAACCCCCAACTTACAATCCCACATCTCCAACCCTTTTTTTCACACAAGATAGCTTCTAATCCCCTCCAATTTACGTCGACAGCTCGCATTTACGACAGCTCACGACGCAGACTCCATGCATCCTTCCAAAACAGGAAAAGTACGTCAGTCAGACACGCAGCCTCTCTGCACACCTCAGCCTTCACTTTTTTGTGATTTTTTTTTGTGCACGATTTGAACGATTTTGTTTCCTTTTCCTCCATTTCCGTAGTCAAGTTTGGTATTTTTCGGGTATGAAATGGGTTTCCAGGAACAGAACGGCCATTTATAACATTGGGAAATACGGGTTTGACTTGCCACGGCTTGACTTACGACGGTTCTCCAGTGAGGTTGTAAGTGCTAGGGGTTACCTGTACTTTTGTTCTGATACACAAAAAGTACCGATGCAGCCACGAAACTGTCAACTGCGCGCATATCAGTAACATCGTGAGTTAGGAGGCACTGGGCATTTTAACGAATCCGTCACAACGCAACATCGATTGGTAAATAGTATTAGAACGACCAAGTCTGATTTTGCGATAAATTGGGGTTAATAAGAACAATCGGTGGGAGGGCTGACCCATACGTCCTGCGTGTTGTAATGAGATGAGATAAAATCATAGGACTGGAAGGGACCTCGAGAGGTCATCGAGTCCAGCCCCCTGCCCTCAAGGCAGGACCAAGCTCCGTCTACATCATCCCTGACAGATGTCTATCTAACCTGTTCTTAAATATCTCCAGAGAGGGAGATTCCACCACCTCCCTTGGCAATTTATTCCAATATTTGACCACCCTGACAGTTAGGAATTTTTTCCTAATGTCCAATCTAAACCTCCCCTGCTGCACTTTAAGCCCATTACTCCTTGTCCTGTCCTCAGAAACCAAGAGAAACAAATTTTCTCCTTCCTCCTTGTGACACCCTTTTAGATATTTGAAAACCACTATCATGTCCCCCCTTAATCTTCGTTTTTCCAAACTAAACAAGCCCAGTTCACGAAGCCTGGCTTCATAGGTCATGTTCTCTAAACCTTTAATCATTCTTGTCACTCTTCTCTGTACCCTTTCCAATTTCTCCACATCTTTCTTGAAATGTGGCGCCCAGAACTGGACACAGTACTCCAGCTGAGGCCTAACTAGTGCAGAGTAGAGCGGCAGAATGACTTCACGAGTTTTGCTTACAACACACCTGTTAATACAACCTAGAATCATATTTGCTTTTTTGGCAACAGCATCACACTGTTGACTCATATTCAACTTGTGGTCCACTATGACCCCTAGATCCCTTTCCGCCATGCTCCTTCCTAGACAGTCGCTTCCCATCTTGTATGTATGGAACTGATTGTTCCTTCCTAAGTGGAGCACTTTGCATTTCTCTTTATTAAACCTCATCCTGTTTACCTCTGACCATTTCTCTAACTTGCTAAGGTCATTTTGAATTATGTCCCTATCCTCCAAAGACGTCGCAACCCCATCCAGTTTGGTATCCTCTGCAAACTTAATAAGCGTACTCTCTATCCCAATATCTCCATCCTTGATGAAGATATTGAACAGTACGGGTCCCAAAACAGACCCTTGAGGAACTCCACTTGTTATCGCTTTCCAGCAGGATTTAGCACCGTTAACAAGGACTCTCTGACTACGGTTATCCAGCCAATTCTGCACCCACCTTATCGTGGCCCTAGCTAAGTTATATTTGCCGAGTTTATCAATAAGACTATCATGGGAATATTCTTTTGAATGGTTCAAAGACTGTCAGCAAAATGGTCGGCCCTCGCGCATCTTCACTTCCTCAAAGCTGGCCCTCTTTGAAAAAAGTTGGGACACCCCCGGTCCAGACAGTATTTGGCCCTGCCATGAGGGCAGGGGACTGCACTCGATGCCCTTCCGAGGTCCCTTCCAGTCCTCGTATTCTCTGATTCATTACAACTCGAGAGAGGTCTCCACTCTGGGAAATCTGGAGCCGGTCCAATTCGATTGCGGTGAACCAATTGCCGCTAGGTGGCACCGTTGCTCCAACAAGCAGCGAGGGCTTGGCTTGGCGCAGTCCGACTGCAGCAAAGGAAAAGCAGCTTCTAGCTCTTTTGCCATCCACGATTTTCTGCAGCAGGAGAGGGAACTGGCCAGGCGAGTCCAGCCCGTGGCTTTACCGGGGGCCATCAGGTTTCAAGATGACAACCCAGCCAGGTGCCAAGGACCCCGGGTGCTAATCGGCCCAGCTGCGGCGGCAGAACAAACCCACCGGGGCAGTAGACCCTCTTATGTGTTAACCATAAAGCGCCAGAGTTTATGCTGGGCACATGGGCAGCCGCTCGGGGGAGATTCAAATGCTTCTCCACTGATCAGAGTCCCCGCAGCGAGTTTTTTGGTTGATACGGGTGGTGCACATTCCTGGGTGCACGGAGAAAAAAATTATTCCGCACGCTGGTGAGGAAAAATCCACCCATGGGTGGAAAAGAGGAGAGGGAACATTGGCTGACAGGCTGAGCCATCCCCACAGGGCAAGGCGGGGGTAGGGAGGACAACGCTATGATTCTGGAAGGGATGGGGTCTCGGGCAGAGGGGGCGGGGCAGCCTTTGACTGACCCAGCCACCAGCCACGTGGCATATCCATCTGCTGCCCCACCCTGTGGCATCTGGGTTTTGACCACCCCAAACTCCAGGCCAGAAGGGCAGAACTGTTCGCCTCACTGTAGGGTTGGAGGTTAAGTGACTTGACCAGGGTCACCAAGGGAGACTGTGGCAGAGCGGGGGTGACCACGTTCCAGACTGACCCCTGGGTCAGCTCCTTTAATAGGTTGTGGGGAGGGGGGCAGATGATCAGCAAAAGAGATGCGTTGAGCCCCACCAGGAGATTCGCTGGAGCCGAGGGGTTGTTTTTCTCGCAGCCGAGTGTTTATTCCTCTCTTTCGCATTTGTCTTGCTCCTTGTGTCTGCCTTCTTTCTTTCTTTCTTTCTTTCTTTCTTTCTTTCTTTCTTTCTTTCTTACATTTTTCTGAAAGAAAAGAAAAGAAACTGCTCTTTCCGTGGATCGGTGGGGAGGAAGGAAAACGACAACGGTTTTACCGTCTGGCCCTTTGGAGAGCCACACACTAAATGCACGGAGGACCGTGTGTGACGGAAAAGCAAACCTGGCCGGTGCTAGATGCGGATCCTTTAAAACGGTTCAGAGACCCAGCAAAATGCCGCTGGAGAAGCTTCAGAAAAGGGTGCCAAAAACGATGAGGCATTTGGAACAGCTGCCATAGGAAGAGAGAGAAAAAAGATGGGGACTTTGCAGCTTAGAAAACAGAAGGCCTAGGAAGAGAGGTCTATACAATCATGACAGGTGTGGAGAAAGGGGATAAGGAAAAGGCTACTGACTCCTTCCCGTCACACAAGAGCTAGGGCTCACCAAATGAAATGAAGAGGAACATTTTCTTCATGCAGCGCACAGGCAACCTGTGGAACTCCTCGCCACAGGATGGGGTGAAGGGCAGGACTTGAACAAGGTCCAAAAAAGAGCTAGCTACATTCATGGAGGTGAGCTCCATGGATACTTCGTCACTGCATGAACAAGATCACGCGCGTCTTCAGTGCTCGTAATACCTTACCCCTTCCCAGCTTACCCAGCTGCTCTTCCTCTGGGTCTCCTGGC